TATATATATATATATATATATATATATATATATATATATATGTGTGTCTATCCTTTGTACGATGTGAACCGTTTATGAAATCACACTGCATTAACCATACTCAGGACTAGTTCTTTCCTTGCACTTTGCTCCCCCGTTATATGACTTCATCAGGCACCTTTGATTAGATAAATTGGTCACATCTATCAGGATAAATTTCTCAGCTCCACCATTTGCCAAACCACATTACCCACAACTCAACTTTCTTCATGACGAAAACCTTGACCAGTGATTAGTTCACAATGTGATCAGTTTGTCGAGGTTGATTAGCTGTTCCGGCCATCTTAAAATGTGTTTACTGCAAAAAGGACTGAGTTGTAGGTGCACACTGAGTGATTACTTTGTGAGTTTCATGAAAATCTGACCAGTGGTTAATGAAATATTTTGCTAGCAAACAGATTTTCCTTCAAATAGGTTATGCTAAAGGTATTTGACAGATACAGTATTTTGCATGATGAGTTTGTGTTCAAAGTATGTGTTGGGATCTCTCAGCTACTACAACACCAATATCTGTAAAACTGACCATGGGAATGAATGGTTTTGTAGTTTAATTAAAAAATGCAATGACAATGGGACATATTTTTAGATTAAATAATTTTTGTTTTAAAAAAACAGGTTGAGTTTGTGATGTGATTTGATATTTTCAAAAATCTTATTTAAAATCAAATTTAAAAAAATCTTTCTGAACAAAGATTTTTCAATTTTATTGTAAGAATTTCCTATGAGAGACATGATTAAAGCCTGAACAAAAACACGTCCAGGTTTTCAAAGGTTCTCTCAGACACTGCTGACCATGTTAACCCCCCCAGGTACCCCTGAGTCTCTGGCAGAGAAGGAGCTCCAGCTGTTGATGATGATAAACCAGCTGAGTGGGCTCAGAGAGCAGCTGCTGGGAGCCCACTCAGAGCAGAAGAACATGGCCGCCCTGCTGCTGGAGAAGCAGCAGCAGCAGATGGAGCTAGCCCGGCAGCAACAGGAACAGGTACTGACAATTAGTAATATGGAAACACACCTCAAAAAGGTTCCTGTTGCTTGGTGTAAAAGTAGGATGATTGCAACTAAAATAAAGAAAAAATAAGCAGAAAAACAGAGTGAATGCTGACTTGAGTTTTGTACAATTAATATTTTAAAGATTTATTTAGCCTTTCATAAGAAAAAAAAGTTTTTTTTTCAAAGTCATATTTTCACCATGTCATTCATACATTAATAAATGTCATAGTTCCAAACTAAATATTTAATTTAAAAGCTAAATATTTAGTTTACAAACCTAATACTTAGCTGGCAAGTTAAATAGTTAACAAGCTAAATATTTAGCTTCAGACTAAATATTTAGTTTACAAACTAAATGTTTATGTCCAAGATAAATGTTTAATTTACAAACTAAATATTTAATGTGCAAGTTAAATATTTAGTTAGTGAACTAAATATTTAGGTCTAAAGTAAATATTTAATTTCCAAGCTAAATGTTTATTTTCAAAACTAAACATTTAAGTTACAAATTAAATATTTATTGTCCAAACTAAATGTTTAATTTTCAAACTAAACATTTAACTTCTAAGCTAAACATTTAATTTCCAAAATAAATATTTAATTTGCTAACTAAATATTTAGCTCGGACCTATATATTTATTTTCCAAACTAAACATTTAATTTCCAAAATAAGTATTTAATTTGCTAAATAAATATTTAACTTGCAAGTTAGAGGAACTGTGGTCCGTTTGTCCTCCAAGCCTATAGCAACATAACTAAAGGATAGCTCAGGGACACCCAAGCCAACCCTAATTGTAGGATTTATCAAAAAGGAAAGTCTAAGGGTGCGTTCACACCAGCCCTGTTTAGTCCGCTTTAATCGAACTCTAGCTCGTTTTTCTAGAAAGTCCGGTTCGTTTGGGGAGGTGTGAACACGCCATCGAACTCTGTCACGGAACAAAAAGACGAACTCTGGCCCGGGCTAAAACCTAGGTCTCAATCCGGTAGAAGCGAACTCCAGCACGGTTCGAGTACAGTGTGAATGCAAACGCACCAGCTCAAATGTAAACAAAATGTTATGAATATTGGTCCCCAACCAAACCAAGTCTACCGGACTATCAGGTGTGAAAACAACGTTAAGCCCAGTCTTAAAACTGGATAATGTGTCAGCCTTCTTGGACAGAAACTGGAAGTTGGTTCCACAAGAGAGGAGCCCATTCTGCTACTGGAAACTCTAGGAACCACAAGTAAACCTGCAGCCTGACAGTGAAGTATTCTCTCTCTAAAATGTCCCAAGACATTGGTGCGTATTTATTTTAATTTTACTAACCTTTATTTATACAGGTAGTGTCATTGAGATGAGAGGACTCATTTTCAAAACAGACCTATTTAATTTGCTTGGATAAGTAGAAGAGGCTCACATTCTTGTTGCATGGATTTTGAATATGTTCAAAACCATTTTCTTAAAATAATCATGAAGTTGGAGGTGCAAGATGGCCACTGATCAGTGAACTGCGTTTTGCTAGGCTCCCATCAGCCCTGCTGAAAAATAGCCTTTTATAATTATATCCTCGCTGCCTCCATGCTGGATTCTGCCTCTGAGACTGGTGTCGTCACATGATTGACTCGACGGAGCTGGAATATGACCTCCAAGTTAAAGAAATCGAAAGCAGTGGTGTCTTCGCCCGTGCGGCCTGGCATTACAGCTACAGCCTGGGGCCGAGGTGATGGACCGGCAGGTGTAACAACAGTTACGTCAGCCCCACCCTTGCCGGGCTCTGGAAAGACAGTCGAGTTGGCTCTGAAGTCAGACATTCTGGCTTCAATTAAATATGAAGTCACAGCAAGAGCGTCAGAAGCATCCGTAATGTGGGGGACACAATGATGTGTGTAGGTGTGGGTGTGCGCACACGTTTGTGTGTGCGCACACGTTTGTGTGTGCGCACGCGTTTGTGTGTGCGCGCGTGTAAAAAAGTGTACACTAGTGTACAAAAAAGCAGCATTTCACCTAGATTTCCTTTAATTCCACACATTTAAAGCATGTTTCTCATCAAGTTTGTGTAAATTCAGCTGTGGGTTTTAAAGACATTTTAACTTTAATACACTTTAATACAGAGCGTCAGGTCGGCACTTGGAATGTGCGATATGGCATAAAATTCATATCACGATATGTATTGTGAAGGGTGGCGATAACGATATACAAACCGGATTCCAAAAAAGTTGTGACACTAAACAAATAGTGAATAAAAACTGAATGCAATGATGTGGAGGTGCCAACATCTAATATTTTATTCAGAATAGAACACAAATCACAGATCAAAAGTTTAAACTGAGAGAATGTTTCATTTTAAGGGAAAAATCTGTTGTTTCCAAATTTCATGGCCTCAACAAATCCCAAAAAAGTTGGGACAAGTCCATTTTTCCCACTGTGTGGCATCCCCCCTTCTTCTTCCAACACTCAACAGACGTCTGGGGACAGAGGAGACCAGTTTCTCCAGTTTAGAAATAGGAATGCTCTCCCATTCATGTCTAATACAGGCCTCTAACTGTTCAATCGTCTTGGGCCTTCTTTGTCACACCTTCCTCTTTATGATGCGCCAAATGTTCTCTATAGATGAAAGATCTGGACTGCAGGCTGGCCATTTCAGTACCCGGATCCTTCTCCTACGTAGCCATGATGTTGTGATTGCTGCAGAATGTGGTCTGGCATTATGGTGTTGAAAAATGCAGGGTCTTCCCTGAAAGAGATGACGTCTAGATGGGAGCACATGTTGTTCTAGAACCTGAACATAGTTCTCTGCATTAATGGTGCCTTTCCA